ATATATATATATATAATTTTAGGTAATGAAAAATTGTTTCATCCGGTTTCCTCAAAACTTGCATAAAATAACACAGAATACGGATCGAGATGGTACGCAGTGGGCGGCAGGAAGCAGCAAGGAAGGGGAAGGAGAGTAATTAAATTAGATTTGGATCTTAAGAAATAAAGTTGTAATATTTATTGGTTGGATTTGCATCACATTTGGAAACAAGTTAATTTAAAGTAAGATAATAGAATAGGGAGGTGATGAGAAAGAGAATGATAGTGGGAAATTTTATAATGGATGATGCATCTAACCTAACCTATAAACGTCGCATGCGTGTCTCTCTTGGGATGGAATAATTAGCCGCCGCAGATTGTCTAGGTCCATGTCATTGCCTTCTTCACTCAGCACTCAGCACTCAGCACTCATCACTCATCACTCATCACGACGCGTAATTACATATTCTCATCCAACTATCAAGTCACGCGGCGAGACAGAAGATTCCGCCGACAACTTTTCTACGTATCTCTATCTCAATCTCAATCTCAATCTCATTTCACTAATTTTAATTAACAATAAAGGCTACCCATATTCCGACAAATGAACCACATCAAGAGCACCGCAGCCGTAGGATAACCAACTCCTCTGTCTGCTGTCTCCACAACCTAAATGCCACGTAGCTGCACACCACAGTCAAATTCATCGTTGACTCTTCCATTCATCATGCATCATCATGAACATGCATGCCCCATCTCATCACATCCCATCCCATCTCATCTATAAAAACCAACCACCTGCTCCTCCCACTCTATCCCTCTCTCTCTCCTCTTGCACAACAAACAAACACTTCAATTAAATTATAATAATAGCCATGGCGCCCAGGGATAAGACGCCAGCTCTTAAGCCCAACAACGCCAACGCCGGGGCCAAGGAGCTGCATTTTCGCGGAGTCAGGAAGAGGCCGTGGGGGAGATACGCCGCCGAGATCAGAGATCCCGGTAAGAAGAGCCGCGTCTGGCTCGGCACCTTCGACACGGCCGAGGAGGCGGCGCGTGCCTACGACGCCGCCGCACGTGAGTTCCGCGGTCCCAAGGCCAAGACCAACTTCCCTCTCCCCTCCGATAATCTCAAGAACCAGAGCCCTAGCCAGAGCAGCACCGTCGAGTCCTCCAGCCGCGACCGCGACGTCGCCGCCGATTCCTCCCCGCCGCTCGACCTCAATCTCGCCCCCGCCTCCGCGCGTTTCCCCTTCCACCACCAATTCCCGCCCATCGCCGCCGTTTTCCCCGGCACGGTGCCTCCCTCGAACCAGGTCTTCTACTTCGACGCCGTCCTACGCGCCGGCATGGGCGCTCCCCGCGGCTTTGCTTTCGGTTACAATCAGCATCCGGCGGCGGCGAGCGACTCGGACTCGTCCTCCGTGATCGATCTGAACCACAATGAAGGCGATGTTAAGGTCGCGGGTTCTAGAATCTTGGATCTCGACCTTAACCACCCTCCTCCCCAAGAGATCGCATGATCCTCGAGATATTTTTTTTCATTTTTTTTTCTTCTAATTTTCGGATTACGAATTTCTCTTTAGTTTTTAGAAGTAGAGAAAATAGCAGCGTCCGATAACGATAACGAAAAATAACACGATGGAAGAAGGGATATAGTATGTGAATACGTAGGCGGTTGTCTCTATTTTTTGCGACAGTGAAACCACCAACCACCGGTACCGGTGGTTTCAAGCTGTTGTTCCATAAATCAGGAAAAACTGTTGTCCTGTTTTTATTTGTTTTTCATATCAAATATTAAATTATATATGTAAGGTGTAATGTTTTTGGTTTGCAGCCATAATTTGGTTTAATGAAATTATATAACTCTGAAAGTTTGCAATATTTTTGATTGTGTGAATGTGGGTGATGGAAAGTGTTTGGGAAGGGCGTGGAAAGAGAAGGTAGTGGTGGATTGATTGACCCACCGCCACGTGACAGGTGGCTCTTGAAGGTGACTCCAGCGTCCATTGGTGCGAGGGGTATATGGCTATACGACAGGTGGCACCGTCCCACACTCTCATTTCGCTCGCATCTTCCAAATTACTCAAAACAATTAAGTACTTGCCAATTCACTTTAATTCATCGGGATTCGGGAGATAAGCTTGCAAATTAAAATCATCAAAATCAATTTCATATTCATTCAAATAATGGATCAAGCTTTGCCTTCTCACCTTTAACTTATTAAAATATACATTTTATAAAAAAAACATATTATACACGAAACTTACTCTTCTTCTTTATCCGCGGGATTAACGCAATTTTATCCTCTTTTGGGTAATGATTTATGGACCCTTTTTTTTTCTTTTAAAAATATTTTATTAATATTTCTTTCACATTATATTATCTGCTGTACTTATATCTTGTTTTTCTGTTTCTGTTGTCGGGTGTTAGTTAAGTCTAATTATCTACTAGTCATTTTTATTCTTATTATTTGAATCTTGTTAACCATGTGAGAAGTTTTTTCTTACATTTTCCGTAGTAAAAATTTGAGTTAATAATATAGAAAATCTTACATGCTAGAGGAATTAAGAAGTTTTTTTCTTATAAATGATTTTCAAAAAATATGCCTTCTTCTCCATCATCAAGTAATTTATATGTTTTTCTCAATATAACTTGGTTAAGATCAACTGAGATGATACAGATTCTAACTTTAGTGTCCCATTATCTTTTACTAAATAAATTTATCATATTTTTTTAATCATAAGGTTATACTCTCATTTTTGTTGTTGTAAATGATGATAATTAAATAAAAAAAAAAATTACAACCGCGCGCATAAATTACCTTCTCATAACATCAACTAAAAGAAACGGTTTTTAAATGAGTGGTGGTGAGTCCAACTTCAAATATACAGAATTAGAATTTGATTCTAACCTAGCTAGAAAATTAACACATTAATTGTCCTCCGATAACAATTGTTGCAACTGAACCTATTAATCTCCACGAAACAACTCTCGGATATGTCAAACAAGAGCACTAAAATCATGTCTATAATTATAGGAAAATTGTACGAACAAGATAGCATTAGAAGAATCTAAGAGACAGAAAACGTCTTTATAACCGAGCTGCCAAACAATAAACCAGCTAACTCATAAATATTAAATATATATAAAGTGAGCTAGTGAGCATGAAACCCATCATGTGAGTTTTTGTTTTGGTCGAAACTGAGCATGTGACTTGATATTAATTAGATGACTTTGCGGCCGGGACGTTAGTTGATTCCATAATAAAAGACGAAGGTTCCTATCCTTGCCAAAACCGCGCGTAAATAGAGTACAACCATACGACAATAAAATATATTGAATAGGCAAATAATTTTTTTTTTCTTAGAAGAGACGTCTAATTGTAATGTATATATTTTAAATGGGATTGACCTCTCATGAAGAATAATCGTGTGAAATTAACCCATTATTTATGGGAGAGACTAGAGAGTATCATTGCAATGTTTTGGTTCTTTCACTCTATTTTCTTGTTTTCTATTTATAATTATATTGATATTTTTCTTAATTATAATATGATTTTTTTATGACACAGAATGTTTCAAAGTTATCAATTAAGAATTAATATATGTTAAGCAAACATTGGATCTCAAAATTGTCACTGAATTAAGATGAAGGTGGGGTTGTGTAGCGCACGCGCCTGGCGAGTTTGAAGAAACGAAAAACGTAAGCGTGGTTCACCTTGACAATAGATTAGATGGGGTACTAACCAAACATTTGATTTCTTATATAGCGTACCTTGGACACCAAGCACTAAAGTAGTTCTCTTTCATACACTGCACAAAACACTTTTGAGTTTTCTCGGTTGAATCTTGAATGTGAATGTGGGCTCACCCTATCCCGTTAAATTTTTCCACATGTTGCCATCACCGGCCATTTTGTACCATTTTTAAATGCATAACCGCGTTTTGCTTCTCTTCTCATGACTCCTTATTTTGTTAGGTGAAGGGTTAGTCCACTCATGTGAACCAGGCAGGCCTTAAAACAAGCTAAACAAATTGATTAAATAAAAATAGTTTATTTTAGTTGTTGGATAGAGAATTAGAATCAAAGCTATCTGTGCAATATTAAAGCAAATTTTAAAACTCGACTCATGCATGGCATGGCATGGCATGGCATGGCATGAGATGGTTCTGCAGACTTTCTTTCCCACCCGAATATTTCCACTTTTTCGTACAAGGAAAAAAATTAAATCATATCATTAAAAGAATGCCATAAATTATATATATATATAAAAAAAAAAAAGATGCGCTGAGTCTTTTCCAAACACAATGAAATGAGGTACGGGAAAGAAGTTGAAATAAACGACAGAAAACACGCCACAAAGCAAGAATAATAGTGTCTGTATTATTTTTTTTCTGATTAATATTGCTCGTGAAGAATAATGTTTTTTTTTAATGTTGTATTATTAAACAAGTTGTTTATATATATTTAAAAAATAATTTTGTCAGTTGTTTTCTTTTTTTCATTCCCTCCCTGGTTCTACCAAATGGACATTAGAATGAGAACATCTAACCAGTCTTCACTGTGCCTATAAAAAGTGCAAATAATGGATATTTAATCTATGATCATCATATATTTATTTATCGTCTTCATGGTTTTAAAATTGTTTATCTCTTAATTAACATTATAAATTGTACTATTATTATATTTTAAACATTGTACAGAAGTACTTTATTACTTACATAGAAAGTTAAATTTTAAAGAGTATACGTTATCATTTGTTATTTGACCTGAGTCTAATCGTTTTTATTTTATTTTACTTTGTGATTGTTGAATTACATATTTACCCTAGGAAATGGTAATGGGGAAGGACAATGGGGCGTGGGGTAGGGACGGAGGCGGAAATGTGATGTTGATGTTGAGTGGCGCACATCCCATTTGCCATGCACGTGTAATGCAAGAAGGGTGGGACCCACTAATGCAACCGCGGCTGCTACTTTTGGTAGGACCATATCTTCTCTCACCCTTCTTTTCTTCTACTATATGTTTATTAAATATATCTATATTGCTATATGTGTATTAAATATTACTCAAAACTATTTGTTCCAACCCATGTCATTGTCCATTTTATTAGCAATATATCTTCAAATAAAAAATGATTAATAAATAACCCACAATTAGGTTAACAGCAATCATTCTACTTAGCGCCTGGCTTAAGTAAAGGATTAGTGGGGCGCACTGTGCCTGTCAACACTTTCCACCGGATTGTAACATTTCGTAGGTTGTATTGAATTAAAACGAATGATTCATGCTCATGCTTTAGTTTGTCAATTTGATAAGGTATTGATTTTGATTTGATATGTCAAGATGCTGTTTTATTTCCAAGTGGGGGGAAATTTTTTAGGATACTCACTTGTTTTTCTTTAAGAATAACTTCGGATTTTGTTCTCTGCTAGGGATCTTTATCCTTTATTAGTTAATAGGTAAAAGATTAATTTCATTTAAAACAACATATACTACATATAATTAAGTTTTAAAACTATTTTATTTTATTTTTCTCTATTTTACTTTATCTATTGAAAACATTTATTTTGTTGTTGCCGAAAGATAATACCTTAAAATTTGAAAAGGAAGAAAAGTAAACAACATTGAGATTTAGGATAAAATGATGCCATTGAAAATTGAGAACTTGAAATTTAGAGAATTGCCAACAAAGATTTGACAAGTCACATTTATGGACTCGGAAACGACGATGAAAAAAAATATTTTAAGTTTATGAAATCTTTTATTATAATTTGATAAAAGATTGTATGTTTAAATAAAAAAAATTACTGAAATCTTATTTTTGTGTCTGAAAGTGAATAGTAAAAAACTTTAAATATAAAATTAATTTTTATCTTAAGATTTAACTTAAACTTAAAATAATATTTTAATTTAAAAAAATAATGTCAGAAAACAAAATAAGCTACTCTAATAATAAAAGTTAATAGTATTTAAAAATAAAAAAATAATATTATAGAAATTTAAAGAGGTAAAAGTAAGAAAAATAGTAATGAGAAAATAAAATAAAATTTATCCGTCTCTGAATAGTTTGTTGAGGCAGAGTCTAGAATGAATGACGCATGAGCATCAGTACTGACTACTGAGTAGGGTGACTGCGTGAGAAGCCAGCAATCCATTCGATTAGGGGAAGCAGCGTGAGAGTGTAGGTGTTATGGACATTGTTCAAAATGGGTGATCCGACCGATTTTCCCGGGTCAATGACATGATTCCGGAATTAACTAGATCCGATCCAACAATCAGATCGACGGCTATGCAAAAACCAATTAGAAGTGGCTAAAAAGATTGTTGAAATTATACAAATAACTTTATTAAGGTGTTTGATTAAAATAATGAAAGTAATTAGTGGATTGCGAAGAAAGAAAAAGAGTGCAGGAATCAAGGTGACGTGTCGGACAGAGACAGACAGCTACGCCGGCGGGTCGGCGATTTTGGGCAGAAAGCAACAAAAGGTAAACGCCAAATGCCTAATGCCTAATGCCTAATGCCTAATGCCTAACATGTATCATGTATCATGTATCATGTGTCATGTACTACTATCATGTATCATTTGCTACTATCATGTATCATGTGTAGGACCCTTCGACTCTGCTGGGGTTGGATGGGTTAACAACAACTAGCTGTAAAAAAACATAAAATAATAAAACCACGGTCCACAAATTATAAGTTCAGCTGTATACTTGCTAACAAGTATTCCATCCAAAATCTTCTATCCAAAGTTATTGGTACCGCAAAATTAGTTGGTGTTTGGAGTATTTAGATACATTTTTCTGGGTGAAATACAGCTTTTATAAATCAGTCTTGCAAAATTATCAGATATTTTAAGTGTTATGATATATATC